GGGGGGGGGAAGAAGACAGAATTATCTTCATTTTTGCTCTCAAGCCTTTCCAATGATTCAGTAAGACCCACCCCACCGTCATTCTAGAGGGCCAGTGGCTTTACTTAAGGTCCACTGATTAATCACATGTAATGCTGTCACGACAGCATCCAGATTACTTCCTGAGCAAACAAGTGGACATGATCGCCTAGTCAAGTTCACACTTGAAACTGGCCTTGCTACCATCCGACAGCCAGTCCTCCTCCCTGCTGTTGTGTCCCCAGGGGGAAGCTAGTGGACAGCCCATTGGAGACATGGCACTGGCTGTCTTCTCCGCCCCGAGACAGTATGTCACGTGCCAAGAGCACAAGTCATGGCTTTGTAGCCAAAGTGGATGGTGGTCCCGGGTGGTGGGGGTTTTCGGGGCTGGTTGTTGCTCGATCTTGCTGGTCAAAGATAGCTGCTTGGGGTACAAGTCCTGACCCCAGATGTCCTCATATGCTGAAGTCAGGCAGAGAGTCACTCACAACCTACCCGGCTCCCTCTTTTATGCCAAGGTCCCTTCAGACACTGGGGGCCTGCAGCTTTTTAGGCGCCCCCTGTAATGGCTGGCTGCCTCCCCAGCCCCACAGCCCCACAACCTTGGCTCCCTCTCTCCTCAGGCTCAACTACACAAGCGACAGGAGGTGGACAGCACTGGCAAGAGCTTGCCTTGCACCCCCCAGCTCAAGATGCCCAAGTCCCCATTCCAGCCTGGGGTGCTTGGTAGCCGCGTCCTGCCCTCTAGTGCTGACAAGGACGAGAGGTGAGGGGTCTGCTCCCAAATCCTCTTCTTCTTCAGCAGCTTGGTTCAAAAGAGCTCTCAGTACTTGGGTAGCTGAAGCAGAGATGGAGGAAGGTGGCCGGGCGTCTGGCCAACTGCCCTCACCTCTCTCTTCTTCCCTGGTAGCCCCCACTCAGAAACCCAGGCTCCAGGGATCTGCCCCAGCACTCTCAAGAACTGCTGGGGAAACTGAGGCATGCTCCATCCTTTTGTCTATCAGGGAAGTGGTTTTGTCTTGGAGGGGTTGGGGTAGGGCACTTCCAGGGTGGACCAGGTATTAGCCCATGTAGCCACCCTCAGGGAGCTCCTGCTCCATGTCAGGCCCTGGTCCTACCTGCCTGGGTCTCAGACGGGGTCATTCCAGCAGCCGAGGCCTCCTGACCATCCAGGGAACCCATAGAAAAGGAAGGCTTCTGATGGCCTAAGGATTATGGTGCCAGGAGGGAGGACCAAGGGTGGGAATGGGGGTGGTGAGACCTCAGGACCCCTGCTTAAGGAGGAATCTGAGGAAGACTCCCCAATATGGAAACCTCTCAATGGGGGTACCTGGCCTAGGACCGCAGAGGTGAAGATCTTAACCCCCAACAGGACCGAGTCCCCCCTAATTCCCCCACTCCAGTCCCCTCAGGAGGCTGCTGGCCAGCTTCTGGGTCCTGCTCGGTGGAGATGTTCGAGTCCCAGACCTCGAGACCTCAGTGGAGTTGTGTGTGGCAGC